ATACAAGAATCAAACGTTACGTCGGATTCCAATTATGCGTCACCTGAACCACATAAATTATCATACGAACGTTCACACGTTCCATCAATCGAAGACGTTTATGAAACGCCCAATGAACCGCTTGAAACATTAGTTAAACAATCATTGCAAAGGCGACTAGTTCATGAAGAGTTGCATCAATTGGGATCACTTGGACAAAAATATATAAACATGCTTTTCGGTGGTGACAGAGAAAAGGCGATCGATCACGTTTATGGTGTGTATTTCAGCGAGAACAGTACGATGCTCGGTGATAAACAGTTCGATGTAGACACAAATGACTTTGTAATCTTAAATGGAGTAAAGTACAAAGGTACGCCTGGATTGTACGAATTAATTTTCAAAAGAATTTCCGACGACACTATTTACACAGAGAATGATAAACTAGCATATAAGAGTATACTATTAGCAACGAATGCTCATGAGCGGATAATCCAATATTGGGTAATAAAGGATACAAATATAAGAATATAATAGCACCCTTGGTATTATATTCTTATACTTTACCTCAGGTAAAATACAAGTTGGAACGGATGTACCATGCGCCTGGAAACTAAACGACAAGTCAGATAAAAGTGTTGGAAAAGGTATAATACACACACCATGACCCTAAACGGCAATAAAATCAATTATGTTTATTGGGATGATCCTAACGAGCTCGTGGATCGCCTCCGATTGTTTAAGACCTCACGTCAAGCGGGTCACAACGCTCACGATAACGAAATTTTATTCATTATCGATGAACTTCGTGAAGCTGGGCTTATTATAAATTGAAATGTGGTATGCAGTTATCTTTTAGTCGATATCGAAATATCGATCAACAACGTTTGCGTAAGATCTTTGTGACATTTTACGTATTGTATCAATAAAAATAAAAAAAAAATAAAAATATCTGAGAAGAAAAATCTTGAAAAGTGGCGATTGGTGGAAGAATAGGATCGTTGTGTGAAATCTTGAATTTACAGTTGTATTCTTTGATGTAATTGAGGGCGAATAAAGTTTTACTCCGTTTGAGACTTATATTAGAATGTGGACAATTAGTTTTAAGGATAAAAGATTTCCTTTAATATTATTAGTTTATATTAATACAAATTGAAGACGGCGGCGCGAACACGTTCGAGTCATACGACGGCTACACTCCAATTGTCTTGTCAACAACCCGTTGTTAGGGACTTGTAGTCAAGGCAAATTCACATGGCTGTACTGCCGCGACGTGAATCTAATCACTTTTACAGTTCGGCCAATCCTGAGCTAGTGTGCGACTCGAACACGTATTTTTGAAAAAGATACACAAAGTTCTAATTAAAGTAAATACAATCAAGATTAATCATACTTAAAATCAAAGATTACAGATACACAGATAAGTAATACTTAAAATATAATTGAAGAAAATACCATGAATAACGTAAGTACAATGTTTTGGTATTAAAATATTCATAAAAAGTTAACATATATACTAAAATTAACTAAATAACAAAGTAGTTAACCTCGCATCTTTAATACATAGATAAAATATACATTAATGATAAAGAGGAAACAAGAACCACGAAAAAACTTTAAACATATTGAACTTTAACTTGAACATCAGGGTTATGATTAGGAAACGCTTTAATCCATAATTTTAAGCGATCAGGGGAGAGAATTGAATTGTAAGGTCTTGAAGTTATGCTGGAACCAGGAATGTCCTGTACCACATATCGGTTTTTATCCAAAACCTTTGTTACCCTAAAGGGACCTTTAAAATCGGGTTTCAATTTCTTACATTCTCCAGCTTTAATCGAAACATCCCTAATCATAACCAGATCACCTGGTTTATATGACATGGGTTTTCGATGATGCTTGTCATAATATAATTTATTGTAAGATTTAATTTTTTCTGCGACATTCAGGGCTAACTCCCTATCTTTTTCTCTTTCTAAAGAAAAATCTATTTCAACACCAACAATCTCATTCAAGAATTTTACCAAATCAGCATCAGTATTGTTGCGTTGATCATATCCTAAAAGTAATTTTGAGGGAGAAGATTTTAACGCCGAATGTCGAGTATTATTAAATACATATTGCACAGTTTCAAGGCATATTTCCCAGTCACGATTTTCGTTAACAAGTTTCTTTAAAGAAGATTTTAAAAAACGATTCGCTCTTTCAGCCAAACCATTGGCCCAAGGAGCAGCTACTGCAATTAGCCTATGCTTAATATTTCTTGAAGACAGAAATTCAGAAAATTCATGGGAAGTAAATGCTGTACCTCTATCAGATACAATTTTTTCTGGGAAACCAAGAATATGAAATAAAGATGTGAGATGCTTGATAACTTCCTTAGACGTGGTAGACTTTGTAGAAAAAAGCCAAACATAACGAGTAAAAGCATCAATAATTACCAAAATATGTTTTGAACCGTTGGAGGATTCACACAGTGGCCCAAAATGATCCATGTGTAAAATTCGAAAAGGCTCAGAAGGAGTATCAGTAATTTGCATCTCGCCTTCACTGGACTTAAAACCAGAATTCGAAGTCAAGCAAGTCACACATTTACTTATATGGTCATGGACCCGTTTGTGAAGAGAGGGAAACCAGTAATGAACACTGAGTCCCTGGACTGCTTTCTCGAGACCACAATGAGCAAGATCGTCATGGTATATTCTTATTACGTTATCAATCATTGATTCTGGAACAGCAAATCGTGGCAAATTAGAGTCTTTACGATAAACAAGACCTCGAATTAATTCAAATTTCGGATTATCAGAAAATTCTAACTGCTCAGCAATCTCCTTGATCCTCGGATCCTGTAATTGCTTTACCTCTAATTCTCTCTCGAGAGGCAAAGCCTCGACAAGAGCCGAAACTTCAGAGATTCTGCTGAGAGCGTCGACATGTGCCATTTTTTGTCCAGATCGATGCAAAATTTTAAATCTATAATTCTGTAATCTTAAGGTCCATCTAGCGAATCTAGGATTCAGATGTGCCTTATTAACAGCATATACTAAAGCATGGCAGTCCGTGACAATAGTGAACTCTAAACCATACAGGAATATATGGAAACGCTCTACTGCCTTAACCACAGCCAGCATTTCCAGCTCAAAGCTGTGATATCTTGCTTCAGCAGAATTCGTGGCCTGACTGTAGTATGCAATGGGAGCCAATTTTCCAGATTCCTGTTTCTGGAAAAGAATAGTAGCTAAAGCCAAGGAACTTGCATCCGTATGTAATTCTGTCTCTGCATAGGGATCATATAAACGAAGAACCGGATAAGAGATTAATTCTTGTTTCAAGATTTGAAAGGCCTTCAAGCAATCATCATTGAAATTAAAAGAGACTGACTTTCGTAAAAGATTATGCAAAGGACGACCTTTAACAGCATAATCCCTTATGAATTTTCGAAAGAAATTTGCAAGACCCAGAAAACGTTGAAGTTGAGTGATATTTTTAGGTATCGGAAAGTCTCTAACAGCCTTAACATGACGATCACTTAAAGTAATCCCTGAGGGGGAAAGAATATATCCAAGATATTCAATTTTTTCTTTTAGAAAATGACACTTTTTATAATTAAGTTTAAATCTGTATTGTTTTAAAATCAAAAATACCTCTTTCAATGAAGACAAATTTTCCTCAACTGTACAAGATGGCACCAAGATATCATCAATATAAATCAATACTTTATCCTCGCGCAAAAGAGGTTGAAAAATTTGGATCATTCTCTTTTGGAATTCAGCCGGAGCCTCACAGTAACCAAAAGGTAATTTCGTGTACTCAAACTGACCATCAGGAGTCGCGAAAGCAAAATATTTAGAATGAATAAACATCTATTTGATGAAAACCATCTTTTAAGTCAAGTAAAGTAAAAACTTTCTTATTGCCAAGCCGAGAGAAACAATCCTCCATCAATGGAAAGGGATATTTTTGTTTTATGACACGATCATTCAACGGTCGTAAATCAATACACAATCGCATTGTACCATTTTTCTTAATCACAGGAACCACCCTTGCACAATAAGGAGAAATGCTCGGTTTAATAATTCCTCTTTGCAAGAGATCGTCCGTAATTTCCCGAATCTGCCTCCTTTCAGACCATGCAAAGCGTCGAGGAGAATAAGCATAAGTTGTGTTGTCTTTAAGAGACACAGTGATGGCATGACCATCTTCAATTGGAATAACAGAAGTATTTTCAACTTCACGAATTAAAGATACAAGTTTCTCATCGACTGATGGTCCGAAATCAGATTCGAAGATAGTCTCATTAGAATAGCCTGGTAAAACAGACTGACTATTATCATCCAAAGATGCAATTTCCGAAAATAATTGTATCTTTGAATTTTCGTTACCAAATGTTTCGCAAACAATTACAATTTTGTACATTTGTAAAAAATCACGTCCAAGAATAAGATCCACAAAAAGCTCATCGTCCTCCAGAACAAGAAAAGGAACTTTAAATGTTTTATTCGGAAAAATCGCGAGCTGAAAATCAAAAGTAAATTCTCCAAAAACTTTAATAATTGATTTATTTAAAGCTTTAAAAGAACGAGATGGAGCTTTTAACTGATTCAGAGGTTGATTAATCAAATTGGAAAAAATAGATGGTCGTATAAAAGATACAGCGCTGCCTGTATCAATAAGAGCATCCAATGAGCAATTTGTTTCATTTATAGCAGTCACCTTAACAATATTGTCGCTAATTCTATACGGCGATCCGATGTCGACAAAAGCTACCGTCGGTGAATGAGAAGACTGGGAAGACTGGATGGGCTGGAGAGACTGGAAAGACTGGGAGGTCTCAGAAGATTGTGACGAAGACGTCTCTTCAATCGAAGCAACCGCTGACGAATTACCAGATGAGTTTCCAGGGAAGTTCTGCTCCTTTTTCTTCAAACGAGAGCAATTGTCCCGGGTATGACTCTTTGTCCGACAATAAACACAAAATAGCTCCTTTGAAGAGTCGGAAGGTGGACTGGTTTTGCAAGTCGTTTCTTCTTTTTTGGGATAATCCTTGGAATTGACAGGCTTAACAGGAACAGGAGGGGTCTTTTTAGATGGATCACCAAAAGCCAAAGTAAGAGAGTGCATCTTATCCAAGAATTGATCGATAGTTTCTGCTTGGATCAAAGTAGCTGAAGCTCTTAAAGATGGACTTCCTATACCTGAGATCAGGAAATCAATACTTTGTTTTTCAGGCAAACGAATGTTCTGCAAAAGCTTCAATTTTTGCATGGCGTAATCCTGAAAAGACTCCTTTGAAAAATTCCATTTTCTACTTTCTACTTTTTGAAAGGTTACACGAAAAGGTATGTCTCTTTTGAACCTTTGAGAGATAGCTTGCTTTAAGTTGAACCAGGAATCATTAACAGTACCTGAATTAAGATCTAACCAATCTTTTGCAGACTTATTCAACTTGCTGGAAGCAGCTAGGAGAGTCACTTGATCGGAAACATCATGGATACGGGAAACGCGTTCAACTTTCTCAATCCAAATATCGATATTTTCGTCTTCCGAACCAGAAAAAGACGGGAGTTGGGATGCTAGCAGATTGACGGCTTGAGCGACTGGAACTGAAGCTAAAACAGGTCTCTGATTAAGAATCGCAGCACCAGAAGAGTCAGAAGAAGACACAATTTGCGGATTAGTGTTAGAAATCCGAGTAGCGGCGATCAAATTGGTAACTTGTTGCATTAAATCGCTCTGTTGCTTCATTAATTCAGAAAAGAAGCCAAACATCTGCTGCATTGAAGGATCAGCAACTAGAAGCGTAGACCTCGCAGAAGGGATATCACTTGATTGTTGAGGTTGAACTGTAGCTCGAGTATTGCAGGAAGAAGTGCCATCAGGTAACATGATACCAAAATCACTCACTGGACCATTTCGCTCCAAATGTGACATAATTTGGTCAATCAATTGTTCACAAGATGAGGCCGGCACGAGTCCATAACTAAGAGCTTCATTCTTGAGTTCTTCAAAAGAGAGTTGGTCCAATCGACTTCGATCCATAGCGACTGATATGGCGTGAAGCGACGAAAGACGAAACTGCTCCGTAACCGTCGTTCAGAAATGTGTTGCCGTCTTTTGTTTGCAGACCTTCAATTGATTTCTTCTTCAAGAAATCATTCAATGGCGAATAAATCGTAATTTCGAGTCAAGACTGCCAACAAATGATAATGTTAAGGCGTCGGACTCTTCAACACCAATGATGACTCCAAAAGAAAAAAAAATCGGAGGAAAATTAATCCGAAACTAATTGTAATATCCCACTTCTGAACTGTGAAATCTTGAATTTACAGTTGTATTCTTTGATGTAATTGAGGGCGAATAAAGATTTACTCCGTTTGAGACTTATATTAGAATGTGGACAATTAGTTTAAGGATAAAAGATTTCCTTTAATATTATTTGTAATATTAGTACAAATTTAAGACGGCGGCGCGAACACGTTCGAGTCATACGACGGCTACACTCTAACTGTCTTGTCAACAACCCGTTGCTAGGGACTTGTAGTCAAGGCAAATTCACATGGCTGTACTGCCGCGACGTGAATCTAATCACTTTTACAGTTGCATAAAAAAATTTTATTTTACTATCTGAAAGATTTTTTCGATACAAATCAAAGAAAAAAAATTTTTTCAAAAAATAATAATTAGCTGAGTTATAGAAAAACGAAAATTAAGATCGTTTGAAACGGCACTCTTTTCGCGCGCTTGTGCCGTGACGTCACATGTTGGTCCGCGCTTCACCGATTGTGTATGCGAATGTAAACTAATACATTTAGTCGGCTGAAATATGGAAAATACTGGTGAAAATGCTATTAATCGGTCATATAAGTGGTGTTTTGTACCCGGGTGCACTAATACGAGTATAAAAATACCAAATAAAGTATTTTTAACAGTACCACGTGACATTAAACGTCGAAAAATGTGGATGAAAATGGCTAGACGTGACGATGTAGCAAATCCACCAACAAGTTGTTTATTTTGTTGTGAAGATCATTTCAACGTATGTACGATGTATTCATGATTTATATGTATAATAGAATAATTATAACCAAAATGATATTTATAAAGGGCAGATTTCGTAAAGTAAACATTCTAGTGACCAAACATAAATACGATACATGTCTGGTCATTGGAATGTTTACCTTATATTTGATTGAACATTACATTTAATAAATTTAATTTCATATTATGTTAAATTAAATAAGAATTATATATTTAAATATTTACATAAATATATTATTTTATTAAATAAAAAATATAAATAAATTTTAATGAATATAAAAATACATTATTAGTTACAGGAAGACATAGAAAATTATTGCAGATTTAAAATTATGGGAGGGCGAATCCAATTAAAAAAAAACACAATTCCACATATTTTCGATTGTCGGAAGAGTAGGCAGCATACAAGCGATACAGTTTATATGAAATCGGGAGCTGCAAAACGGAGAAGAATACAAACTCTGCAAGAGATGGAAAAAGAAATATCAAAGACAACAATAATGACTGATGAAATAACCGCAGGATGTTCTACTCAAGCAATGATAGATTTTACCGATGACTATAACACAAGACAATATGGATATTGAGGAGATGAGTAATTTAGAAATGCGATTTAAAGATGCCGGTATACAAGTAAAGCCACATTACAGAAGTAAAGCTATTTTGTGTAAAGCTGTAAGTAAAGACATGGCCTGTTCTCCTATTAAACAAAACGTAAACGCGGGAAAAAATGATACTGATAAATATAATACTTATATTAGCGATGATACTATCAGTAATATTCCATCGATTAACGAGAATACTTTTAAAAGTACTGAAGAATATTTTCCTTCGGAAGAATACACGAGTGAAGAATTAAAAATAAACAAAACGGAATCAGACGATACTACGAGAAAGTTGAAGCTTTCCATTATAAAAAGAAAATCTAAAATGTACATAGGCATACCAGAGCAGTTTCTGTATGTCATAGATCTTTTGCACAGCAAGATAGGTTTAGTTCATACAGACATACTTATATTTAACACTAACCAAAATTAAAATGAATGATACATTTTCCCGTTTAGGCGATGAATTTGGCATGTCTGCTAGTCATGCAAATAGGATTTTTAATAAGTCTATTTCATTAATAGCAAATTGTTTAAGATCTCTTATTTTTTGGCCAAAAAAAGATACTATACAATTTTTACTTCCTATACCATTTCGAGCAAGGTATAGTAATGTACAGTCTATAATTGATTGCCTAGAAATAGAAATACAAAAACCTAGTAATGCAGTACATCAAGCTCTATAACGTGGTCAGATTACAAAAAGTGCAATACTTTAAAATATCTAATATCTTCGACACCAGATGAAATGATCAATTATATTTCTTGCGGTTATGGGGGAAGAACGTCAGACGCGATTATAGTGGAAAATTGTGGCTACTTAAATGAAATACCTTCTGGTTGCGAAATTATGGCAGATCGCGGCTTCAAACATATCGAGCATTTATTAACCCAAAAAGGATGTGTATTGATTAGACCCCCCAGCATCGCGAGTTCTGTTAAACCATCAAAAGCAGAGGTGATGCACACTAAAAGGATTGCAAGTTTGCGAATACATATTGAATGAGTAATAAGAAGGTTGAGAGAATTTAATTTTCTTCAACCTCATTCCTGTATTCACCATGAAGCCATTAGTACAACTGACGATATTATTATCATTGCAGCAGCACTTATTAATTTACAACAACCAATTATAAATCAGTAAAAAGAAAATATTAAATTTCATAACATAATCTAATTTTATTTCCAGTAAGTACATTTTCCAGTGTATTTCTTATATTTCAATATAGGTTTTTTTTTATTTTTGTACAGATTCCAAAAGTAATGGAAAAATATTTTCTTTCCAGAATTTTGATGAGAGAGAGAACTGGAGATTATATCTTTAGTGTAATCAGAATCATAATCCACCCACACGATTCACTTTCTTGGACGTCTCAAAATCAAATTTCGCCATGCAAAACAAACCTTTAGTTCGTTTTGCAAACATCATTTGTATTTGCATTTGAGAGTAAAACTTCTTTGCTACTGATCCATCCTTACATATATATTTGTCTTCAGATTTTTCGGTTAACGGGCATTTAACTTCGATGATGTAATTATCCGTATAAGAATCAGGAGAGGCTCCGAATATAGGGTAATCAGGTAACAAAATTAAACCAGTTGAGTAAAATTTCATTCTCAATTTTTTCTCCACCGCCTGTAAAACTTCTCGTTCAAGATTTCTTCCTCGTCTCATTGCTTCGGTCTCTATTAACTTTACTGTTCCTACGGATCTTTCAACGTATGAACCGTTCGTAGTTTTGCAGTTTGCAGCTTCATATATAGTCGAAGCTGTAATCTTTCCATACCGTAGTTCATACCATAGTGGACAGGAACTTTGTTCTTTTGTAGCTTTTGCAGCTTCAATGCACAAATTCGAGCTCATGTGTTGCTTTGCAAAAAGTAAAAAGTTAGTAACATTTCTTATATCTTGATCACTATTGTCACAATATTTTAAAAGAAGATAATGTAAAGATAATGATTTTAAAGAATCGTCATAATTATGTATGAAGTGACGCGTGATTTGGCTGTCGAGTTTTCTTGCTTTAGCTATTTCGATGAGATCTCCCAAAAAATTAATATTATTTGACGCTGCAAACTGTTTATGTTGACCTCTACTTAACGCTTTCGCAGTTACAAGTTTTAGTGATGTTCCTATTGAAAACATTGTGGAACACTTCCAATAACATGTTACAGATGTTGGAGCAGGTTCTTTGCTTCTTCGATGTGTCCACATTAAAAATGTTATAGCGTGCTTGCAACCACCTAAAATCACCGTACATTATATTTAGAGCAATTTATATAATTTGTAGTGTAACATTTGAATATGTAATATTCTTATTGTATATCGCATGAGAAACAAAATATTAGCCTTTAATATTTATTAGATTTAGAGTTATCACGTCCCATTTATGCATTTTAAATGCGCAACAGCATCGCTTCCAGAAGAACGTCTCCAGATGATGAAAAGTTGGGCAATCAAAATACAATTTAAATTTGTATACATTAGTCAAATATATATTTGACACGTAGAAGCCTTTTTTTAAAATTATATAATACGCGTTCTTTTACTTATACTATAAATAATAACTAAAATACAGTAAAATAAAATTAAAAATGATTGATTCACCATTTTATTGCTTGAAGAACTATCGATGGTTCGAGCAAAAATGTTAAAATTTAGTTGTAATAAATATAAAATAATCATATTAGTATATGAGTAATTAACATGGGAATATAATTAATAATAAATTCCTTTATTTTCTGAAAATTGTTAAAATGCTAAATATCCTTTCATTTTATCAATTTTTATCGTTGCAGACTAGACCTTTACTGATATTATTCATAAAATCAATCTCAATGTTGTATCATCATAACTTATTTCAAGTAAAAGAGCAGTTACTGTAATAAATCAATGCAATAATAGAACTTATATATTCTTGACGCATCGTTTGATAGGCAAAATCTTCTGCAGCAACGTTAAAGGAATGAACAAGTACTCTACTTTATAGTCCTTAATAT